AACTCTATGGTGAGGGAAAACCGGACTTCTGGTTAGGACCTTTGTGGCTCTTTGAGTGTTTAAGGTTGCTGACCTTAAGAGGGGTTTAAGCCAACAGATCCCTGTCTTATCTCTCCCATACAATGGGTTTAAGCCAACAGATCCCTGTCTTATCTCTCCCATACAGACTCACTGGTGGATTTCTTTTCCCCCAAGCCATTTTTGAAGAACAGCAGATCTGAATTTTGAAGAGCGCCAAATTTGGTTCCATTCCGATTAGCTCTCAGAGTCCTGAGCCTCTTGTACAAAGAATTTCTTTCCAAAATATATTGGAAATATATTTACCAGCCCTTTAATGGCTGATTTACCTTTCCCTCTCCCAGTACATGCAGTACATACAACACAACACAACACATACAGTAATGTGATGAACTACTTTGTAATAAGTATTATCCCAGAAACCTAACTAAAGATGCAGAATGTCAAAAACATCCCTGACATTAAGATATTATATCCCAACTCTCAACAAAATCATTCTCAAGATGGCTTGCACTTCAACCCTAGGCAAAAAATTAATGACTCATATTGAACATGTGTGTATTAAACATTTTCATTTAATTTCCACTTCAATCTGATTCTTTTAAAGTCAAACATAGAAATACTTATTTTTCAACCTAACATTTAAATATTTGTTTTCAATGTTTTCAGACATTTGAATTTTGATACTGTATACAATTTGAATCAGGAATTACCTGTAACTGGAAAGTTCAAGGCTGATCTGTTTGGGGAAAAAATCAGGTCAAGTGTCTTCCCTTTTTTTGATTTCCATCTCTGGATGAATGGAATGTAGGAAACAGCACTTTACACCAGACAATGGGAGAAGCAGGACCAGTGAGGAAGTATCAGCCCCTTAACTATGCGAATGAGTGTTTGATATTTAGGACTCAGATACTACCTTTATTTAAACTGACAATGATAAAGTAATTCAGGCATGGATCTACTTTCATCAGTCAAGTGCATCCATTCACTCTGCTTTCAGAGAAGGTTTGGATCTATAAGACAAAGGGTTAGCCCACTACAACTTTGATAGGAAGTGGGTGGATGAATGAGGAACAATAGTACGTAGCATTGGATTCCCTGCCTTTATTATTTGATATCTCCCTGATATTTATTGATAAGGTGACCAAAAAAAACCCCCTGGATTGTAGTGGACAGTGCTGCATTCAGTAATATAACTTTCAATATTAGGTATCCAAGTAATGTGTTAAGCATGTAAGAGAATTCAAAGTATTTCAAACTTATCCAATATGCTTTCCACTTATAAAAAATACTGCATTTCATCTATTATATACATTACATATTAAAGCTTTTGAGTGCTTGATTCATTGGAGGGAAGAACTTGAATACAGCACCAATAATCTTTCAGTTGCAAGTATCAGAATTAATAGCTTAAAGCTGGTACCTAGTGAGCTAGAGAACGATTAAAATAGGGAACTTGCTTCAAAAAGATTCCAGTTATTTCCACTCATTCTCCATGTTAGACAGCCCGGTCAAAAGCTGGGTTCCCTGGGTAGGTCTCATCTGGAGACAGATTTAAGATCTCATCAAGGGAAGGACCTTCTTCTTCTGGGGCTATCTCTGCTTCAAACATGCGTTGGAGTAAGGCATCCACAGTCCTGTATCCTGCGGCCAAAACAAATCAATTAGCTGAACCTCCCCAGGTGCAGTGTATATGAAAACTCAAGCCACTGATTCCCACTTAACTTGGCCCACAGATATAAGCAGGGAATGCATTTTTGTTTGGTTGATTGTGCAAAGCTACTTTGTGGAGTAGAACAGCCTATGCCCGTGAGGCGGACGCTATGGCACGCATGCCAGAGGTGGCACGTACAGCTTCTCTGTGGGCACATGTGCCGTCGCCAGCTGCTCTTTTGTTTTCCGGTGCGCACAAGGCACGCTGGCAATCTGGTGTTCACAGGTGCCCAAAAAACAGCCAACAGCAGGCTGTTTGGGGGCTGTTTTCAGGTGGTTTTTTGGACCATTTTCAGGCCATTTTAGGCTGTTTTGGGGGCCATTTTGACCCCAAAACAGTCTGAAAGTGGCCCCCAAGCCCCCCAAAAAACAAGCATGTGCGCTCCGGACAGCTGGCCATCAGGTTTCTGGTGCTCCAGCACATGCATGCACATTCCAGTTTGGGCACTCGCTGCCAAGAAGGTTTGCAAAAGGCCATAGCCACAACATCCCCCCCCCCTCCCAAATCAATCTATATGTAAGTGAAATTGCTCTTTTTAGATAGTATGGGTAGAATCAAAGTTGCTCATACTGTATTAAAATTTACTATCTAAGTCTCTAAGAAATTTACCATGAAGCAAGGAAGAGAGAGTTGGAGACCAACATAACAAAAATGCCATCTTTTCCTATATTTTGAAAAGCAGCAAACTAAGAAGCCAGAGAGAAAAATTGACATCACTTACATAGGCTTTTCCAGTTTACTCTTGTCTAGAAGTTCCCTGAGTTTTCAACAATCAAGACTTCTAGCTGAACTAAGAATTATGGGAATTTTCCAACTTGTCTAGAGTAATGCAGTTAAAGAAATAGATTTATGTCCCCCCCCCCCCTTAAGAGAAAAACCCATCATATCTTACAATATACATCGCATCAGAGGCGGTATTCTGCCAATTGGCACTGGTTTGGGCAAATTGGTAGTGGTGGGAGCGTGAGGCTCCACCCACCCACCCAGACTGTGCATGCCCAGTTGTGCGTGCACAGTCCCGCTACTGAACCGGTAGTGAAGATAAGAGGATACCATTACTACACAGCATGATTTGCTCCTAACTGTAGTTATTATTTCTCCATGCCCACCAACAAGCACAATAAACACAAGTTCTCTGATAATGCACTTACTTCTGGAGGCAATTTTAAACATCAACCCCTTAGATTTCTTCTTCACTGCTATTCCTTCTTCACT